TTATTATTATTATTATTATTATTATTATTGTTGTTATTATTATTATTATTATTATTATCATTGTTATTATAACTGTTATTGTTGTTATTATTGTCAATATTATTGTTATTACTGTTATTATTATTGTTATTATTGTTGTTAGTATTGTTGTTATTACTGTTATTATTATTGTTATTGCCGTTACTGTTATTATTATTGTTGCTATTGTTATTATTGTTATTACCATTATTATTACTACAACTGTTTTTTCTTTTGTTAAACTGGGATTGTTGTGGTTTTTCCGCTAATGAACACTGCACCCGTCTGATGTCTCTTAACCAGAACGGTACTTCATCCTGGTCTAGAAAGAGCAACAACATTCAGCACGAAGTGATTTTCAAAAACCAGAAAAACTTTTACGAGGCCGTACGTGTTACTCGCGAGTACAGGAAGGCTGAATTTAAATTTGTCGCGTCGCCCGTTGGCGGGGAACACTATACTAAAATTTGAGACACCTAGCTTCAGTGGCTCCCGAGTTGAAAGTGCAGGACAAAATGTGGGACATACACACACACACACACAGACAACCCCGTACTATTACACAGCACAAAACGCATAACAATAGTCCAATAAGTACACTAATTTAGTTAATTTAAAAAAAAATCAAATCCAATATAGACAGTAACTAGCCGTTTTAGCAAAATTTTCAACCATAACTTCAGCTAAGGGAACGCCCACGAAAATTAATCAAATACAACAGGAAAAACCCAAGAAAACTGTCGCGGTGCTACCGGTATGCAACCTGAACCGCTGTGTCAACATGCAAAAATCATTATAGATTATGCGATAGTTTCTACTGGCCCTGAAGAAATAGTGTGCTTTTGAGGAGACGGCAGACGGAGGGAGAAATTTCACGAAAATTATGCGAAGTAGATTCACAAATTGAATTTCACCAAGAACAAGATCGTCCGGGCTATCAGTGTGGGTATCCCATGTATTAGTGATGTTACTGGGAGATTTGTATATAGTTGTAGAACA